AAACGAAAACATGGATTCGGCCTTGAAAACGGCTGGATACATCATTGTTACAATCATCTGAGGAAACAATACTAGAGCAGATCACGGATTCCGCCCTGCCTCGTTGGCAGGGTACTCATAACAAACAAATACAAAAGATAAAAAAAAAACAATAACTTTGAGAACGTGACCGTCTTTGCTGTAAGATGCATGCAAGACTGCGAGGCTGTGTGAGCACGGTCTCCTAGACATCCCTGCCCGACATCATTGCAGTACAAAGGCCTGTTTTTTTTCCTTTCCCTTTCGTGCACAGGCAAAAAAAAAATTACCACTTTTGGGACATTGCCGACCCTCTGTCCGACCCCCGAAAACTTCGGGTGCTAGCCAGTATCACGTAATTTCCCAACACTCGGGAAGGTACTGGTGGTTTAATGAAATTCCTTATCTATTTCATTGTATTTGCATACAGATTTATAATATAAAAATTTATGATAATTTATAATGTAATAAATAGAATCAAAAATATAATATATTCTTGAATAGTACCTACTGAAATTTTAAAGCAATATAAATAGAGAAAATATATATTATCTATTGCAGGGTTACCAGGCCGAACATACGGAGGCCCCTAAGCCGATCCCTAAACTATCGGGCGTTCAGGTCCCCGTACGGGGCCCGAACCTGAAGGGGTTCGGACCCCGCAAAAAAAATATTTTGACACCTTTTTTTTTTTTTTTTTAATGAATTTTGTTTTGTGAGTTCCTTGTGATGTAAGGTATCTCCCTCTTAATTTTGAAGCCATTCTGTTCAACAAACAAAAAATGCAAAATCGGCAAAGATGGTGGTGCCAAAACTTTCTCCCCCCTCTCTCTTTTTTGTTTTTTTTGTCTTTTCACTTTTTGTTTTTCCTTTAATTCGGGGTATGAAAAAAATTATTATTTTTTCAAGCTTTATTTGTAGATTCTCTATTATGTAACATACACATATATAAATTTTCATGGCATTTGGCGATGTCAAAAACGTGCTCGCCCACTCAATAATTTCATTCTCGTTTGATTTTTTTTAATTTATTATTATTATTATTATTTTTAAGATTATTATTTATTTTTAGTATTTGATTTTTATTTCAAATTTGGTAAAGCATTTAGATGTGACGTTGAGGGAAATGTTGTTCAGTTAACCTTGCTGGAGTGAGAGGGACGTAGCAGGGGGCGACGCCGAAGTGCTCAAGCCCCACGACGCGAGCGACGTAGTATTAGGGTTTCTCCCATAGCCGCGCGGCATGCCGCATGCATAGCCGCGCGGAGCTTAGCCACCGTGCCCTGGGGCGCACATCACGGAGGAAGGGGGTCTTGCAGCTGTCGAGCTCCGCAGGAAAGCTCGAGCAAACGAGACAAGTTTGTCCAGGGTTCAGAGGAGGGAATGGGCGGACCCTCTAAGGAGGTGAGGCAGATGATATGGGGTCTTCATGGAGGAGCTGCGGAGCATAACGAAGGACAGACGACAACTTTCAAGGCGTGGAACGTAACGAGGGAGAGACGACGCTTGTTTACAGAACTTTCATAATATTCTGTACCGAACAACGCTGTCAGGTGCAGCATGCTTCCAATGGAGTTAGTCACAACCGACAAGCTGTGCAATCTTGTAAGGTCCGTATACAACCCTGCACGATGGACCGTAGTCCTTAAACCGTTATGGCAGTAGTTAAGGCACGATGCAAAACGTGACAAGGTATGACACGTCCTCCGAGTCGGGATCGGTGGACCTCACTTGGAGACTGCTATCTAGCCGTCAAAAAGGGGCATTAAACGGAAAAACGGTTTGGAAACGAAGTCGTGGGAGCAATGTCTATCATGGGGCATGGACTCTCAGCAGCGGAAGATACGACTTCGAGAACGCAAGGAGAAATGTGGATAGATGGATGCGCTTTAGTGTGCCTTTCACATTGGAGAGCAGTGAGTCACAGTGAGGCAATGCAGGTCTTTAGGTCTTCTATGCGCAAATTCAATTTTTGTCTCTCTGATTGTGAGAAATTATATTGATTTTATTTACAGATCATAGATTAACGTTTGTGCAAGAAGTCGTGTGCCTTGGTTGTTGTTATGCATCTTTTGACGTAGAAAGTGAGCAAAAGCATGAGGCTCGAGTGTCTGCGTTGTTGTTATGCATCTTTTGACGCAGAAAGTGTGCCGAGGCATGAGGTTCGAGTGCCTGCTTTGTTGGTTGTGCATCATGACGTAGAACCTGGATAGATGCATGCACTTTCTTGTGTTGATTGTTATGCATCAGATGAATGTGTTTTCTGTTGAAATGGACTCGTGCTCATCCGCTTTTTCCCGAAGAAGCCACACGTACCAGTGATTAAGGGGAAAGTAAGCGCCAATCGTATGTGGCAGGGGTGGGGGTGAGAGGACTCATCTGCCTGTTGTTTTCTCGCACAATCTTCATCTGTCGATATATTTTTCAATGACATTTGGCGGGGAGTGCTACGATGTCTACTATTCGAAAGGCTGAGACGATTCACAGTTGTGTCTCTCCTCTTTTTCACACTTCTTTCTTTCGTTCGTAGTCGGGCATAGATGAGATAGAATAACCTGAAAACAGATTCGTCACATTGTAAAGAATAAAGTTAGGGTGGAACTGGGTGGGTTGGCATGGACTAGATATAATATTTTGAAAAGATAAGGATTAGGGCACTGGTAGAAGTCGTAGACAAAGAGTGTGTGTGTGTGCGCGCGCGCTCGTGCAACCAGACTCGACTTATTCACTCTTTTCATGCACGTGAACAACAACACACAACTGGCGACATGCGCCCACACAGTACACAAAGATATGTCTTCCAGGTAAGTTCGCTTCCACTGGCTATGGCGACTAAGCGCCCAGACAACTCACTGTTCACACTTTGGATCACCCTGGATGTCCCACACGCAACACTCTGTAACCACGCGCAACACACACACACACACACACTACTATAGYTATGGCAGCGCTAGCTGCCACTACCCTATCGCTACTCTACACTTCTCTGCCCACTTCGTCTTCGAGCACACTGCAGACCTCCTCGCACAAGCTGCTGAGGCAGCGCTTCCACATGGCATCCGCAGGAATGAATGAATGGTTGGACGCAGCCTCTTGATTTATACTTCTGCGCTGCGCTGGTCTGCCCTGTGTCCCTTGGCCCTTGGTGCACACAGTCCCAGACGGTACTTGCTGGACAGGACCGGACTGCCTAACTGGGACTGTTGACTCAGCAGGGTGGCCTACCACCACTTGACCACTTGTCTCTGTTCAACGTAGGCTCACTCCGAAAGGCCACTTCTAGAAACCTCCGACTTGGCCTTTCCGTGTTGTAGCAGCTACGACTTTGCCCCTTCAGGTAAGTAGCAGCTACGACCTTGACCGCTCAGACAACCTACAACTACGACTTCGGAACTGTCTAGACTCCTACCCTACAAGTCTACAGTTCGATTCCCTTCTAAGCTGCGACCTACGAAAATCTAGCTACCACTGGCGTTTCGACAGGTCGCAGGTTCAAGTCTACGGGTTAACATCAATACTGTACACATGTACGATGGGGAACTAGGGATCGAGCCCTGGGATCTGCATTTCACTCCCGCCGGCCTAAATTCGAGGTCCTCCGAGAAAATTTCAGTCCAAGGCAGGACCTTTACCCCTCTGCTGTCTCTCGTAGGCTCGAACTATATCGGGAGCTGTCTCTAGAAGTTCAGATCTTGTAAACCAGCGATCGTCTTCCGGTTCTTGATAACTAAAGTGAACCTTGTATTGTTTCTGTGGACGACCCCTACCTCCAGTCCGGAATACATCTTCAGCCACTATCCCATCAATGTCGTATCTTCCATCCATATCCGSTGGGATCATGGACCTACRGGATGGAAACTGATCACTTGTTTGACACGGTAACAACTTTGATGCGTGGAAAACTGGATACGTGTGGAGGTGTGCTGGGAGTTCTATGGTATAGGACGGTCCATCTTCGCCGCCCTTGACTTCTAAGACTGGCCACGGTCCTCTATAGGTGGGCAGTAACTTCTGCGAGATGTCTCCTCAGGTCCAAACTCTTTAGAACTGACCCAGACTAAGTCGCCTACTTGGAACTGTGAGGGGCAACGATGCTTATTGGCTTGTTCTATCATTCTGTGCTGGACCTTTCTGAGGTTCTCTACTACAGTAGCTAGTTCTTTCTCGTGTTGCACAACAAACTCCCTGGTCCCGGGCGGCAACCTGTGAATCTGATCCCGGCTAAGTCCTTCAAACGGTCAACGGGGCCTAAAGGACTTGTCCAGTTCGTTGGGAGTGTGGCAGGTGGACAGATGCACGCTGTTATTATACGCACTAGCTACCTTAGGTAACATCTCATCCCAGTTAATCTGATCTGGCCTAATATACATGCGCAGAACTTGCTGTAGGATCTTGTTCATTTGCTCWGTCTGACCGTTAGTCTCTAGATGACGGTCAGACGACATCAACAACGTATATCCATACACTCCCATGAGTTCTTGCCAGTTCTGGCTGGTAAAGCGACTATCTCTATCGCTAACTATAGACAGCGGGATTCCATTCTCACTAACCCAACAGTCAAAAAACCTCTGAATGACTAAATCAGTACGTGCCTCTGACGGCAAAGGAACAAAGAGTGCATAGTTACTAAATCGGTCAACTATGACCATGACTTGGCTCTTGCCATGCCTGCTCTTGACCTGAGTGTCCATGAAATCGATGGACACTGAGTCTCCCGGTTGGTCCGGAATGGGCAAGGGTCTGAGAAGACCTAACGGGGCGCGCGTAGAACTCTTGTTACGCTGGCAGACCTTACAACTGCGAACATACTCTACGCAGTCATTCTTCATCCCTGGCCAGGTATACGCGCGCATCAGATTGGCTAAGGTCTTTGGCCAACCAAAATGACCCTCTGTGTCATGACATTCGCCCAAAATCAGACTACGAATCTCTTCCCTATTGGGAATGCACAGGCGGTCACATACATTAGTCTTCTCAAAGAGCAGCCCTTCAGTAATGCGGTTGTTCGGCTCAGTCTCTGGGGCCTCCTTGACCTTCTTAAGGAGCTCACTGTAGACAGGGTCCTGCGCATAGGCCTCTCTAACCTTCTGTTGCACGTCCTTCCCTATATCAAGGTAGTGTACTATTGCCCCAAAGTAATCTGCCCTCCTACTCAGAGCATCCGCGACTACGTTGTACTTCCCTTTGAAAGGCTTGAGCTCAAAGTCGTACTGATCTATCTCGGCGGCCCACCTAGTAAGCTTAGGTGTCATCTTGGCGTGCGTCTTTAACCATCGTAACGTTTCATGGTCAGAATAGACTTTGAAGTGCCTCCCAAGCAAGTAGTGCTTCCAGTGGTCTAAGGCTTGCCTGAGAGCGTAGAGTTCCCTCTCATAGGTCGATGTCGCGACCTTCTCTGAAGGCATCCTGGCGGACATGAACTCTACGGGTCTATACCCATTGCCATCGTCTTGCTGCAACACTGCGCCTATGCCGTATTGACTCGCATCAGTCGTGACGACAAAGGGCAAAGACGGGTCGGCGACTTTAAGGACTGGATACTCTATCAATGCTTGCTTTAACTTCTTCATGGCAGACGTGCAGTCCTTATCCCACTTCCAGATGGTCTCCTTCCTCAGCAATCTGCGAAAAGGCGCAGCGATGGTGGAGAAGTTCCTTACGAACTTCCTATAGTAATTAGCTAGGCCCAGGAACGAGCGCAACTCTGTCAGCGTACGTGGTGTGGGCCAATCTCTAATCGTTGCGATCTTGCTATCCTCTGGCTTAACGCCGTCTCCGTCTAAGACGTGGCCTAGGTACAGAACTTGGGTCTTTGCCCAATCGCACTTCTTTGCATTGATCTTGAAGTTAGCTTCCCTCAGCTTCTCCAAGACCTGCCTGAGATGACCCTGATGCTCTTCGAGGGTCCTGCTAAATACTAGAATGTCATCTAGATAAACTACAACAAATCTGTCACCACAGCCTAAACAAATCGTTCATACAGCGCGGGAACGTAGCTGGCGCATTGGTTAGTCCAAAGGGCATCACTATGAACTCGTAGTGCCCATATCTAGTCCGGAAGGCTGTCTTGTACTGATCATCAGGATGCACCTCTATCTGATGATATCCGGACTTCAAATYTATCTTRGAGAAATACTTCGCCCCCTGCACTCGATCTAAGAGATCGTCTATCCTAGGCAGTGGCTCAACATTCTTCACTGTAATGGCATTCAGACCCCTATAGTCTATACACATCCTCAGCTCCCCCTCTTTCTTAGGGATAAAGAGAATAGGGGCTCCAAAAGGAGACGAACAAGGCCTAATCCAACCCTTTTCAAGGAGCTCGTCCAACTGCTTCCGCAGCTCCTCTAACTCCCGCGAGGACATGCTATAAACAACACCCTTAGAAGTTCTACTGCTAGACTCTATCTCAATACGGTGCTGGATGGGCCGCGGCACCGTGCCTGTCGGCGGCTCAATCAAATCCTTGAACCCTTCTAGCAATTTGGTAATAGCAAGGTCTACGGGCTTCTTTTCCTTAGGCTCAGTGACTGGCCTAACATAGGCAACAAAGACTTGTTCCTCTAAGTGTTCCTTCTTCACTAATCTGGCGAACGCAGGAGCACTGAGGCAGCAATGTGCCAATGAATTCTCTACTCCTGACACATGGAACAGGCGGGCAGTCTTAGCCTCGCCTGCAGCACGAGGGAGCCTACACTCATGCTCCTTCAGATGGAGCGTGGCCCCAACTGCCTCTCCCCAATCCATTCCCAGCACAATATCAAACGGGAGGCTGTCCTCTACGAGGAGAGTCAGGGAGTGGAGGACCTTCTCCACCTTCCCATCTTTCTCTAGGCGGAAATACGCCTGGACTCCCTCTACGTAATCCTCTACAACCATGGTACGATTGTCCGCGAGGATACTAACTATGGGGTCTGTCAGTTTCTGGACTTTAAGTCCCAGCCTCACCTTCTGCAGCGCTTTCTTACTAATATAGCTGCGGGTGGCCCCTGAGTCTACTAGGGCCCCTACTCTACTTCTAAAAATCTCTGCATTTAATAAAATCAGCTGCCCTTTATTCTCCTTCTTCATCTTGGCCCAGGCGGGCCTCCTCTCCTTCAATTCTTCGGCCACGCCTGTGAGGGAGGTGTCTAGAGAGACTCTAACAAAAGCAGTCTCTGGGCAGTTATCTAGACACCGGCCTGCAACCTCTGCCATAGGCACATGTGGTGTGGGAGTCTCTTGCTGGCTAGCGCTATGTTCCCCACATGGCCTAGTGGTAGGGGCAGTTGCTACCCCTACCGGCGGCTGCCTTTTGGCCCTTGGGCAGCCGTTCCGGTCTCGCGATACTTAGGACAGTATTTGATGATGTGGCCTGGGTCACCGCAGAAAATGCACTAGCCCCGGTCCAATCGTTGTTGCCATAAAGTCTGGTCCAAACCCAAAGATTCCCAAGGCCTGCCCTTCGGCAGCCCTAGGTGCCATCCTCCTACTCTATAGGGTGACCTTTTCCTAGAACGGTTTTGCGGGGGACCTTGACCCCTGCCTCCCGCTTGGCGGTTTCCTCCTCTACCACCAACCCCCTGATCGCCCTGGAACCGGCTCCCTGAGGCCCAACCCCCTTGGCCCTGGCCTCGTCCTCCTTGCGGCCTCCCTCCAGCCGCGACAGCAGCGTAAGTCCTCCCCTGGCCCACACCGCTGTCATCCTCCTCTAAACCCCACTCAATCTGATCGTTGGGATCTCATCCACACTACCCTTGTCTAGAATTAGGACAAGGCTATCCTTAGTCTTCACTTGCCCAGAGATAGTGCGGCCCTTTCATTGCTTCCCCTTGTCTAAGTCTTTGTGCCAGAAGGTAGACACAGATGCTGACTTGGCTTCAAAGGCCACCACTTCACGACTAAGAGAATCATACGTGACCGGATCTTCGCTCTTCGCGAAGAAGTGCCCTCGCAAGGCTTCGGGGATAGCCCGGTAGAAGAGGCCGACCAATTGGGTGTCTGTGACCCCATGGTCATGAACAGCGATTAATTCATCCATCGTGCTCTTGAGTGCCCTGACACTCTTCCACTTACAAGCGTGGATTGTCTGGAGCCTATCTGAGGCCTTGACACTTCGAGCGACATCTGCAAATCGCTCGCGCAGCAATCTCATGAACTCAGTGAGGGAAGTGAATGCCGAATAGGCAACTGGATCGTCACTGCAGTTGGCAGCGCGAACAAGGGATCTTGCGAAGCTGGTGGCCTCATCTCTAAGTGCGTGGATCGCAATTAGGACTTGCTGATCCGGGGAGACCTGTTGCAGATGCACGTAGGTCTTAATGTTGGCCTCCCAGTTATCAAAGTTCTCTTCCCTCTTCCCACTGTAGGAATCAGGGAATTTGACCTTGACTGRCTCYCTAYGMGGCGRGCGTGGTTCCTCYTCSTTGGGAGCTGCCGCCTTGAYGCCCTCAATGGCGCCARCGCAAAATCGTTCAGTCTTCTCGAGGCGATGATTCACCTCGGATCCTATCGCGCCTACTAATTCGCGAGCAAAGTCCCGAAACCCCATTCGTATGGAGCGCACAACCATGTCTTGACTTCGACTAAAATCGTACTGTTGTTCTTGTATCCGGGCTAAGCGCTTGACGGTCTGGGCAATGAGTTCTACCTTTTTCTTAAGGTCTACCTGCGGGGTCAACTTCAGGGTTAGTTGCTGCATCTCCCCTAGGTCCTTGACCGCGTCAATCGTCACGTCCACTTTCCTCTTCTTTTCCCTCATCACTCTCAACTTCCACTCCATCCTTTTTTCATCTTCCATTGCATGCCGCCTCACAACATCCCTTTCTGCTTCCCACTCCTTCATAGCGGCTTCCTGCTCGTCCTACGGGATATACATGGCTACCTCTTCTTCTTCTCCCAGGGACAAGTTGGCGACCCACTCTAAGATCCGTTTCTCCATTTCATCATTTTTGCTGCCGCTGTACTGCCCTCGCTGTTCTCTTCTCCACTCCAGTGGCTGATCATCTTCCTCCTCTTCTTCTTCCACCTCCTTCAGCTTCTGCTCCTCTTCCTTTTTCAATCTTTCCTTCTCCCTGGTCATCTCCTCCTCTATCTTTCTCAACTTTGCCGCCTGCTCCTCCTGCAAGGCCTTCTTCTTGGCCGCCTTCTTCTCCTTCCTCTCCTGCAGGATGGCGGCCATCTTCGCCTCCTCCTCCTTTGTGTACGGCATAGTGGAGGTGCTGCGCCGGGTATCTACCATGGTGGTGTCAGGTGCACGACAAAGGTCCCACTCCTCACCACTTGGACCTACCCGGACACAAACCTACTGACCGACTTCCTAAGGACCACA